GACGTGTCAGCCGAGGTGCCACGTGTCCTGGTCGAGACGCCGAGGTGATTTTTAATTTTGTAATAATGCTGAATAGATATAATGATATTTTTATTAAAATATCTCAACGGTCCCCCACTTTTAATAAAAATAAATAGTTTTAATATTTTCACAAAATTTGTAGCATACCCTCACATTCCAAAACTACAACTAAAACAATATAATATATATATATATATATATAAAATAAGGGCAACATATACTACGTAATAGATGTAGGTGTCTTCCGGAATTGAACATCACTTAGTGTTAACAGTTTCCCTCCGAAGAATCATAATAAACTAAGTCTTGAACTAAACTCTTTAGACCAAAGGTCAACTCTTGTCACACACACAACACTTATATTGGACAATAGTTCGCGGGTTAGTACTTTTAATGGCCCTGCACTTTGATCTTTATTCTCATGGGAATTTTAGAGATTAACCCAAGTCCCATGGTTGCGGTTTCACGACAGTTCCCACTTAGTAAAATCCTCCAAAGGTATAGTGACAGAATGCACCTTACAAGAGATTGCCTGCCTTGGATTCATTTAGGGTAAAACTTTTCCTAGTCAGTCACTCATTAGCTAGAGGTGATTATGGATCCACCCAGCCTGCCCAAACCGACCCAACTCGATTGATTTTGGACTAATGTGTGTCTTTCAGCGGATGGATACAAATGAAATATTTCAAAATTCAAGCATACAATTCGGATGAAGGATCAACCATCCTGCATCCCGCATGAACCCAATCTGCCCGCAAATGAAGTTCAAAAAAAGATTAAAAAAAAAAAGAAACTGCTAACAAGTAATGACATAGATTCAAAATAATAAAATACATATTTTTGAAAAATGGAAAACAATAACTTAAAAATATGCATGCGTGCTGGCATAGCCTATTATAGACAAATAATATATATTTTTTCATATTACTAGTTATTGGAGATTGTAATAGTTATGAATTATAATTCAAAAAAATGTCCAAAATTTGTAAAGTCTAAACCGCTAAACCAATGACATCTATCCGTCTACCCACATGGCCTGTTTAATCCACATTTGCCAAACTAGAGGATGAATGCGGATTGATTTTTTTCCAATCCGCCTAATTTTGAACGGATGACGGATGTGATATCACCTAACCTAACCCGATCCGTGATCACCCCTATCATTAGCATTGTTGCCTTATGGATGGGTAGGAGAACCACTCTTATGGTCTATTAAAAAGTGCTGGAATTAAGTTACGCTTTAAGGATTGTTACTACCCACTGAACCTCGTTCATAGGGTTGCCAATCATAGAGGTTGGGCTACTTCCTTATGTGACTTCCTTAGGGCTTATAGCCCATCCCCATCAACAAATAAACATGGATCTAGCCTCACTAGTCTAGAGGCAATTACTCCTTGAGTTTTTAAAATTTATATTTGCCTCAATATTTGACTTCACAAATCATAAACTTTTTTGGGCTTCTCGAGCTTCAAATCGTCAATAATTTTCTCCATCACATGGAGTATCTCATAATAAAGTCGTTCTTATTTATTGTGTGCCACAATTTTCCCTTTTAGGGTTCATCAAGTAAACACTTCAAATTGGACTCATCATGCAAATATATCCAATTTTTTATCAAGGCAACATGGACCCATCAAGCAAATATGGTCCTTTTATTTTTTTTCCAATCAAGGCAACATTAAATTGAGGCATATTGGATCTTTCAAATATATTTGACCCAAATCTTAATAGTCAATGACCAAATTTTCATAATCAGTAGCCTACTATTAGGAACTACACAATATGGTCAATAGTCTCTTCATCTATTAGGAACCACCATTTCCATCTATGTGGCCAATGGTCTCACACCTACTAGAAACCACTAATTTTGTTTTATTTTTCGAATTTAAAATACGCTCTCTCTCTCTCTCTCTTAGAAAACCACAAACAATCTTTTTAGAAACCTGTCAAAAAACTTGATCTCCTTTTCACAAATGAGAATTTGTAAATATATAAATAATCTCATTCACACCACATTATAAACCTTTATAAAGCCAATACACAAATAATCATTTTTCCAAGAGATATTCTCTTCCTTACACTTGTATAAAAATTGAAAAATATCCCAAATATTTATCATCTTTAAAAATATCACACGCAGCTTGATTTTACTTTCATAAAATAAGAATTTATAAATCATACTTGTAAACTATACAAATAATTCACCATCATATTCCAATCTCTCTCTCTCTCTCTCTCTCTCTCTCTCTCTTTATTTAATTTTTTTTTATGAAAAAAGAAAAAGAAAAAGAAATCTTATATAGTTACCAAACTCCCATTTGTAACATTGCATGGAAACTCAATGGTTATAATATTGTAACTTTCTACAAGTAAATGTAAACCAGTCAAAAGCAATAACCTAACCCATAAAATATAATTAATCAAATATTTATTAGATGAAACCAACCAATTTGTATTCGTACAATTCAATTTACAGCACCTAAAAGTAACAAAAAAAAAAATAAAAAAACAACAATTATAAGGATAAGTTGATAGCTAAAGCATATACAAAAATCTACCACATTAAAAGAAATCATTCTCCTTTTACCGCACAAAGTCTAGTCCACAACCATTTATACTCATAATATACCAATAAAAGAAACATGATCAGTAAAAGATAATACACTGCTGGAAATTAGGCTTTTAGCGGCGTTTAAAAAACGCCGCTATAGGTACCAAAAACGTCGCCAATTCTTTTTGTGACGTTTAATACTAATTTGTTAGTTATATGGATAAAAAATTAATATTGCTATCTTGACGCGGCCGTCGCTATAACTTTATGATCTTCGAAGCTCTGACTTCGATTTTGAAAGATTTCTGATGAATCACCGATGTAAGATCACCGATCCGAAACGATTTCGATTTTGAGAGAGAGAGAGAGCGAGAGTGAGAGCGAGAGTGAGAGTCAGAGTCAGATTCAAAATAAAGGTGAAACAGGGAGAGGAGCGTGCGGGACAAAACCATTTCAAGGCGTTGATAAACGTCTTCTATTCATGAAACGGCGCCGTTTTGATTAGAGAAAAATGCGACGCTTATGAAACGCCATTAAATATTACAAACAGTAGCGTTTTTAAAAACGCCGTTAAAAATACGCCGCCAAATCTAATATTTCCTGTAGTGATAGCATTTAATATATCCAAATTTAACATCGTTAATTGAATAATACTGTATACATCAATTAGTGTACTAATTGATAATGTGACATAATTTAAGAGATTTTTTATATTTGTAATTTGTATAATGAGTGGGGTCAATAATAATGTCATAATTAGTATTGGTACAGTATATTAATTGGTACATGTAGTACCACCGTCTCTAATTAGATGACATTGATAGGCTTACACATGTTTTCACGTAATTTATGAAGCATTAAATTGGGTAATTATTCCATGGTCAATACCATGAATAAAATATATGTTGCAAACTTAATTATTTTACTAACCGTCTAACATCATTACAAGGCCAATGACTTTTAATTCACTAATTGTGAAATTCATGATACCCTTTAAAATTTTAACCATTACAAAATAATTTGTATTCTAATTTGTGTCCATTACGAACCTTAAATATTTTTAACAAAACCAGTTACAAACACATGATCAAATAATCCAATCTTGACAAACAAAATATACAAATAAAATTCGTTTATGAATTATTACAGATTAGAAATACTTTCATTATTCATGTCAAATCTATTATACATAGTTGCATCCACTTGATCATGCCTCAAAAAACATAAAGTACTCTAAAGCCTTGATTGTTACAAAATTTATAACATATTTATTCTCATAATAATTATATAAAATTTAATAGAAATATTTAAAACAAATAATAGATTATGATACACTTTAATCTTTGACAGTTACAAAATTAACAATGCATTGTAATTCATGTTAAACGTAACAATGCAGATCCACAAATGATACGAGAGGTCCAATTAACCATAACACATAGAAGCAAATTAATCAATATATACCACATGCAAGAACACTCAATTTAATATAAAAATTCTTGTATGTGTATATTGTAGGAACCTTATCATGAATTTATACATGTGGGTTTACATTTTGATTTAAATAGTTTTTCATCCCTTTTTCATATTAGGAAATCCATAATAAATCATGTGACAACTCCCATTCTATTCTCCACAATCAGGAAAAAAACAAGACCAAGTTAATAAAACATAAACTTTACATGTATAACAGAAAAACACTAATTAAAGTTAGGAAGATCTTATACATGCCCAAGCTAACATGCTTATTTGAAATCACCTAAATATTAGAACTCATCACCAAATAATATAATAAGGGCAAATTTCACTTTACCTTCGTGTGATTTGGTCCATGTGCAGATCACCCTCTATCATTTAAAAATAACCACATAATCCCCTTATAGTTTGTGGATCAAAGTACACGGTTAACTTTTCCATCCAAACAAATGGATTATGATAACCACACGGCCAGATGTAGAATATCATATATTTTATGACAGATATACTCCCAATACCTTTCAAATTTACAAAACGATGCTATTTATTCTTCCTCCTTTCTCTCTCTCTGTTATTTCTCTCTCTACTATTTGTATTTCTAATCTTTCATTACCAACCCAAAACCATGTTATCTCTCTTGTCTCACACAAACTAATTCTATCTATGCCGTTGGTCTTGTTTTATGTAAACCTTATTGAATTTCAAATTACTGGTTACATAAACCAAATGAAGAAACTGTTGTTCAAAATTGTGAAATTAAATAAATAGATTTATGAAGAAAACAAATTATATACCAAGAACATATGCTGATAATTACAACTAAATTTCAACAGAAATACACAAAAAACAATAAAGGGTAAAGAGACAAAACCGAAGCCTGCACGGAAGCAGTTTCCTTAAAACAGATTTCGCCGCCTCACAGGTCGAGTGCTTGAGGAAACCCGGCGTCTGTCTCCCAGGATACGACGGTCAAAACCAGCTACGGCAGAAGCACTATCTGTCTAGCTTAGCGAACAAAACAATGGCAACACTCTCTCACAATAGGAACTATCAAACAAACTGACTTGTAAAATGGAAGCAAAAATTTCTATATTGAAACTTGACAGGAGGGTCTCAATTTACACATGTATAGGGGAGAGAGGAAAAGCCTCCAGCCTTTAAGGCTAGTCATTAAAACACCAAGCATCCATAGCCCCTTTCCATAAAATGAAAAGTATGGATGCCCAAAGGATTCACACCCTTTAGCCAAGAAAAAAGATTTAAATACTCTTAAAATCTCATTCATGAATCTAACATCATGAGGCAATTTCTTATTCAATTCTCAATGGTTTTGGGCCCACTTGGACCTAACACAATAGATGATTGGGACCCACTTTAATATTTAATTAAAGTCACCACACTTTAATATTAAATTAAAGTCCCCAAAAATCATTTTTTCCAACAACTATATGTGTCCCTAGTCAATACATGTTTACATCTTCAAACATTACCTATAATTGTGTCCGAAGAACATAAAAATATGAAACATGAACTAAACTGAATTTATTGAAACGGATGCACAAAGACGAAATTCAAAAAACAGTAAATTTGTTATTTATAATACATACCGATCCATTAACTCTTCTAAAGCAAATCAAGAAAACTATATTCGTTGAACAAATCCAGTATTCTAAAAAAAAAATAAAAAAATACCAACCTAGAGCTTGCAAAAAGCGATTTTTATGATTAACTAAGAACAAGTAAATAACAATTTGGAGTGTAAATCAAATCAATTCAAATACTAACTAAGGGGCGGAGTACTTACCAATTAAAATTATGAAGATAAGCAAATTTGGAAGGTATCTTCAAAGGGCCCTGGTTCCGAGCAACTATTGTAAAGCTATAATTACCTATATATAACCAATTATACCAAAACTGAATATGAACACACGCATAGCTAATTAAAGTAATCTAAATTCCTCGGTAATAATGAAAGGTTTACATATACCGATTGAAATGTGGATTCCGAATGATTCAACGAACACGATCGCAGCTGAAAAAATGGCGAGTCTAGAAGAGGAAGAAGAAGAAGAAGAAGATGAGAGAAAAAGGTCATGAGAAAGACGTGATTGTCAATCTTTTAGCAACGCACGCAAAGGCAAAGGGCGTGGATCCATCTGAAAACAAGCCAATAATGTATTACAAAATGACAGAGAGAGAAAAATAAGTGGGAGGTTTGATGATTGGGAAAGCTGAGCTCTGAAACCAATATATGTATATGGGTTGCGGAGAGGGAGAGGGAGAGAGAGAGGAATGAGAAGGCGGGTTCGAGGAATGTGAGAAGCGCCTAACAAGTTGAATAATAATGGAAGTGGAACTGTTTCCGAGGCTCCATTAGTCAAAAGCTCTGAGCGATCCATTCTCTCACCCGCCACTCTGTCTCCCACGCTCCCTCCCTCCCTCCACTTCAAAAGGATGAAAGAGACCTGAGAGAAACGCAGCAATATAAATATGGTATTTTTTTGAGTTCAGAAATTATTTTAGACACCCAATTTTTAACTTTTTTTTTTTAATCATAATAATAATTTTAAATAAAATTATTAAAAAAGACATTATTAATTTTGAGATATCAGGTCTTTTAATTAAATCTACACACTTATTATATTATAAATTAGGATTTATAAAAACATCCATCTTTATCATCATTCATCACTCATCCATCTTCCCTAAATCCCGCTTTCAAAACCTACTCACTCTCAACATCTTGAAAATTCTTTAACGGCAATATTCCGGTAGTAATAGTGGCAACTATTTTGCTACTCTTCTCCGCCAATGGCAAAATTTCAATGGTAACAGTGGCAACCCTTTGGCGGAATACAGGTCTGAACATTACTTATTTGCTCGAGAATGCAGGTCCGAACATGAAAAATTCTTAACATATTGAATGGTTAAATTGTTAACGCTTGCAGAAATTTTTATTTTTTCAAATTCAAGAATACATTCCCGAACAAATAAGTAATGTTCGCAAATGCAGGTCCGATTATGGAAATTTCTTAACATATTAAACAGTCAAAATTGTTAACGATTGCAGAAGTTTTCATTTTTTCAAGTTCAGGAATACAGACCCGAACATTACTTATTTGTTCGGGAAGGGATTCCCGAACAAATAAATAAAGTTCGAGAATGCAGGTCCGAATATGAAAATTTCTTGACACATTAAATGGTCAAAATTTTTAATACTAGTAGAAGTTATCGGAAAGTAGCCCAAATCCATTATTAGGTTCAACAGTTATTCCTTTATCGCGTAACTTTAATAGTATTGTTGCGTACACAATTTTATAATATCTACCAACAAAACTAACCAAACCAATTATTATAAATTTTTTTCCTGCAAGAGAAGAAATTATTACGATAAAACTAAGAAATTATATGTGTGTGTATATATATATAGCATACCAACTGTGACAATGAGTATCAAAGTAATCCAGGCCTTCTCATTGTCTGTACCCTTTGATAACGAGCCTTGCCTTATACTTGTCAATCGACCCATCGGCCTTCATCTTTCGTTTAAAAATCCATTTGTAGCCTAAAGGCTTGCAGCTTGGAGGTAAATCTACCAACTCCCAGGTGTGGTTCTGTAAGATGGAGTCAATCTCACTTTTGATCGCTTCTTTCCATAAAGGACTCTCAGGAGAAGTCACAGCTTCGTGGAAAGTTTGAGGTTCGTTCTCAACCATATAAGTCAAGAAGTCTGGACCAAAAGATTTGGATGTCCTAGCCCTTTTACTCCGTCTGGGCTCATCTAAAACCTCAATTTGATCATCACCTGGATCATCAACATGATCATCCTCACTAGCAAGCTCATCAAATTGCTCCAAAGACCTTGGAACCCCTGCATGGGTTCGGCAAGGAAAAATGTCTTCAAAGAAACATGCATTCCTTGACTCCATGATGGTATTCCTGTGTATGTCTGGAATTTCAGACTTATGAACAAGAAACCGATATGCACTACTATTATGTGCATAACCAATGAATATATAATCTACAGATTTCGGGCCTATCCTAACCCGTTTGGGTGTAGGAATCGCCACTTTTGCAAGACACCCCCACATTCGTAAGAATTTATACGAAGGCTTAACGCCTTTCCATAACTCGTACGACGTCTTGTCCACCTTCTTCTGGGGTACTTTATTCAGAATGTAATTTGTAGAGAGAATTGCTTCCCCCCACAAGTTCTGTGGTAATTCAGAACTTATCAACATTGCATTCATCATTTCCTTTCCCCTCAACAATCGAGGTAGCAGAGTTTCCCATAAACAACTTCTCACCATTTGTAACCGGTTCGAAAGTTGTAAACAGTTTCTGCTCGGAGCAGATGTGGCGTGTAGCCCCAGTATCAAGCCACCATTCTCTTGGGTTTGAACCCACCAGATTCACCTCAGAGACAACGGCAGACAAGTACATATCATCCTCCTCATGGGAGTGCTCTTGTAAGTTTGCCATATGAGCACGAGGTTTGGTCTTGTATGGCTTCTTCTGCTTGCGGCAGTCACTAGCCCGATGCCCCTCGTTACCACAGTTATAACACTTCCTAAAGAACCGATAACCAGGTTCCTGCGGCTTGTAAGCCGACTTCTTTGCAATACCACCCCTTGGCTCCAACTTAGAGCTCTTGTTCACAGGGGGCTTCTTCCTTATCCCAGAAGATTTGCCATGCTCAACAACATTGGCCTTTACTGAGGAGATACTCCCTCCTTTCTTTCTATTATTCTCTTCAATCCGGAGTCGGACAACCAGCTCTTCAACAGACATTTCCTTGTGCTTGTGCTTCAAGTAATTCTTGAAATTCTTCCAACCATTGGGAAGTTTCTTAATGATCACAGCAACTTGGAATGATTTGTTCAAAGGCATCCCCTCAGCATGAATTTCATGCAAGATCACTTGGAACTCCTGGACTTGGCTTATCACAGTTTTAGAATCTACCATTTTAAAATCAAGGAAACGGCCAACCACAAATTTCTTTGCCCCAGCATCCTCAGTCCTGTACTTTTTGTCCAGAGATTCCCATAATTCTTTTGCTGAGCTCTTGGAACAAAACACACTATAGAGTGAGTCTGCCAAGCTGTTAAACACATAGTTCCGGCAAAGATAGTCTGTCTGCTTCCATGTGTCAAGCGCCATGACTTTCTGCCTGTCAGGCTCATTCTCTGCCATGGCTCGAGGATCATCACTCAGAACCTTGGCAAGGTTTAGTGTGGTCAAGTAAAACAGCATCTTTTGCTGCCATCTCTTAAAGTTTTCCCCAGCAAATTTTTCTGGGCGCTCATGGTGACTAAGCGGTCCTCCCGGAACAGCCGGAGTAACACCAGGGTTAACCACAGAGGTCACAGCAGTAGGGGTTGGCAATCCAGTTGCCCCGGGTTTCAAATCCCCACTAACATTAGCAATAGCAGCAGCATCAGTGATAGTTTCCATTTCGAAAAATTACACCAGAATATCACTTCTGTGTTCCCAGAAATTAAACTTAACCCTTAGAAAATCCCTAAGAAGAAAAATTAATTCAAAAATTAGTCTCACCACAAAACCTAGAATCGAACATGGTCAAGAAAGTTCTCAGGAAGACTGGAGGGGTCACATCGGTCCCACTTAAAACCCAGTTAACCTTTTGACAAAACTTTTAAGAGCATGTTGACTCCTAGTCCGTGATAAACAAATTAAGAATTAAAAACATTCTTCTTTAGCTAATAATCTCTCAAGTACAGAAAAATAGTTGGTGTTAGTGTAGAAAATAGTAGATGAGAGGAACTATTTATAATCCACTAGGATTTTACAATTTACATAAAAAAAATAATAATAATCATTAAACTAGAAAAAATGGAGAGTCTCCAAATATTAACTCACTACCAAGTTCATGAACTTCAATTAATCTTCATTCATGAATAAGACAAAAGGACACTAAAACAATAAATCTCCATTCATGAACAAGATAAGATTCATGAACAAGACAAAATAAGATTCATGTATAAAACCAAAAAAGTAACAAAAAAAAAATAAAAAAACAACAATTATAAGGATAAGTTGATAGCTAAAGCATATACAAAAATCTACCACATTAAAAGAAATCATTCTCCTTTTACCGCACAAAGTCTAGCCCACAACCATTTATACTCGTAATATACCAATAAAAAACATGATCAGTAAAAGATAATAGCATTTAATATATGCAAATTTAACATTGCTAATTGAATAATGCTATATACACCAATTAGTATACTAATTTGTGTACCAATTGATAATGTGTCATAATTTAAGAGATTTTTGGTATTTGTAATTTGTATAATGAGTGAGGTCAATAATAATGTCATAACTAGTGTTAGTACACTAGTTAGTATACTAATTGGTACATGTAGCACCACCATCTCTAATTAGATGACGCTAATGGGCTTACACATGTTTTCACGTAATTTATAAAGCATTAAATTAGGTAATTATTCTATGGTCAATACCATGAATAAAATATATGTTGCAAACTTAATTATTTTACTAACCGTCTAACATCATTAAATTACATAAAGTGCTCTAAAGCCTTGATAGTTACAAAATTTATAACATATTTATTCTCATAATAATTATATAAAATTTAATAGAAATATTTAAAACAAATAATAGATTATGATACACTTTAATCTTTGACAGTTACAAAATTAACAATGCATTGTAATTCATGTTAAACGTAACAATGCAGATCCACAAATGATACGAGAGGTCCAATTAACCATAACACATAGAAGCAAATTAATCAATATATACCACATGCAAGAACACTCAATTTAATATAAAAATTCTTGTATGTGTATATTGTAGGAACCTTATCATGAATTTATACATGTGGGTTTACATTTTGATTTAAATAGTTTTTCATCCCTTTTTCATATTAGGAAATCCATAATAAATCATGTGACAACTCCCATTCTATTCTCCACAATCAGGAAAAAAACAAGACCAAGTTATTAAAACATAAACTTTACATGTATAACAGAAAAACACTAATTAAAGTTAGGAAGATCTTATACATGCCCAAGCTAACATGCTTATTTGAAATCACCTAAATATTAGAACTCATCACCAAATAATATAATAAGGGCAAATTTCACTTTACCTTCTTGTGATTTGGTCCATGTGCAGATCACCCTCTATCATTTAAAAATAACCACATAATCCCCTTATAGTTTGTGGATCAAAGTACACGGTTAACTTTTCCATCCAAACAAATGGATTATGATAACCACGCGGCCAGATGTAGAATATCATATATTTTATGACAGATATACTCCTAATACCTTTCAAATTTACAAAACGATGCTATTTATTCTTCCTCCTTTCTCTCTCTTTGTTATTTCTCTCTCTACTATTTCTATTTCTAATCTTTCATTACCAACCCAAAACCATGGGTATCTCTC